CTAGTTAATAGAGCTTGGAGCAGGCGTCCTTAGCTGTGGCCTTGTGTTCACCTGCGAGGATTTGAGTCTTCACCGCCACTGCAGGCCTCAGCTGGGATCAGTGACTCACAGAGGTTCACTTCCTATGAGTCCCTGAGTGACTCCAGACCAGGGGCCTCAGTATGGACAGACTCCCAAGTAGGCATGGAAAGCCGAATGGGCACTTACATCCTGCTCAGAGCTGCTTCATAGCGGTTTCCATCAAAAAAACGATGTAGACTACTGTGAACGTACAAGTAAAACTCTACCACAAAAATAATCTTTACTTGAATAATTATATGCAAGGCAGTTTACATACATGAAAGCAGCACATTCCATATACAAGATCAGTTACACTGCTCACATATGTGTTTTGGTTTCCTGACTGTTTCGGTCGCACATACGTGACATTTTGCTGGTCTCTCTGTCTTTTTAGGAGTTTCTTGTGATGTCTAAGCTGTCTGCACACTGGTCTGCTCCAGGATTCTTTTGCAGAGTACTTTTAGGAAGATATTAATACTCCATTCTCTGTTGTATGGAACATTTAGTTCTGATTTTTAGGAAAACTTCTCCATGATATTGTGTACTTTTTTTTTTTTTTTTGTAGGAAACTATACCTGGTATGTTTAGGATCAAATAAAACGGAACCATTGCCCAACTCTTTGTAGTTCGAAAGATATCATAGTTACTTCATGAGTCCTCAACAACCATCTTCAGAACCTGTATTGTAATAAGATTGAAAAGAGAAGAAATGGACAGATTTCTGGATACATAAGAATTACCAAATCTGACCCTAGAAATTTTAAAAAATCTGAATAAATTAATTACCATCAATGAAACTGAAGATGTAATTTAAAACTTATTATAAAGTAAATCCCATGTTCACACAGAATCACGGCTCAATTCTACAAGAAATGTAGAGAAGGCCTAATGCCAGTCCTTCTCAAATACTTTATGGACATTGAAAGAGAAGCAGTACTCCCAAACTGATTCCCGGAGGCAAGAATTAGCTGATACCAAACCATATAACGAATCAACCAGAAAAGACAAGTACAGGCCTATCTGTCTCATGAAGACTGGACACAAATATCTTCAATAAGATACTGTCAAACAGAATGCCACAATTCACCAATATTGTACAACATGACTACGCATGATCTATCCTGGGGGTGTAGCGATGCTTCAATATTTGCCATAGAATGGAAGGAATAGACTGGGTGTAATGGTGCCTCCCTGTACTCCCAGCACTTGGGAAGTGGAGGCAGAGGGTTTCAGAGAGTTTCAGGCCAACCTGGCTTACACAGTGAGTTCAAGGGCAGCCTGAACTGCGCAGTGAGACCCTATCTAAAAAACTGAAATAATAATTTCAAAAATTATTAAATATGACATTCATTTATTAGCAGAGCCAAGAACAAAAACCAAATGACTAACTCAATACACGCAGGGAGAGCATTTGACAAAGTCCCAAACCCATTCATGATAAAAGCCTCACAGAATATTGGAATAGATGGTCTTGATCTCAATCTGATAGAAGTCATCAATGAGAGCCTGTGATGGCAGATGCAACAAGAGACCCTGACAGGGGCTGAGGATGGGAACAAGCAAGTTTTATTCCCCCACAGGGTACAGTATTCTACAATAGCCAACTGAGGAGTGTTGACCTCAGCTGGGCTTTGTAGTGGGTTTGCATACATTTACAAGCAACCATGATAGCCACATTGCTTCATTTAAAAGTTTTACAAAAAGCCACATGATTAACATCAGCCAGGGTTATGCATTTTTAATTCAATGGTAATTTGCTTTGTTGCTCCCTTCTCAGAAAATAAATCTTTATATCTATCTATCTACTAGGAAAATACAAAGCAATAGTAAACAACACTAGAGATAGTATAGAATTTCACTAAACAAAATGATAGAATTTCAACAATTATACTGCATATTGTTGTGCTCAAATTAATTGCTTAGAATCCCAGAGGCAAGCCTCTAAGATTGGTCAACACATTATAAAATATTAAACACGACACAGAAAAAAATAAGCATTAACTCAAACTTTCGATGGAACAGCAAATGTCAGCAGGACAATTACCAAGCTATCCTGTGTATATGCACAAATCTTTCACTTTCCTTCCTTTCATTCTTTTCTCCATTCCCGCATGCCAGTGTTCCTTCCTGTTGAACAGATTCTTTCCTTTCACAGCATCTATTGTATAGTTCAGATTTTCTTTATTCTTTCAAGTTCTTATACTAGAAAGACAATCTGATGTTTGTATATCTAATTTATTTCATTTAAGAAAATGTTCTCTAGTTACATCCATTTACTTATGAAAGCCTCAAGTTAATATTTTTTTATAACTGAGCAATACTTCATTGTGCAAAAATATTGCATACTTTTATCCATTCCTCAGTTGAGCATTTGGGTTGTTTCCAAGATTTAGGTATGACAAATTGCACTGTAATAAACATGGGTGCTTGTGTATCACTGTGGTATGTTTTCAGGTCTTTTGGAATCATATGAACAATGGGAATAGTTGGTTTGAATGGGACCTCCAATCCTAACTTTTTGAAGAATCTCCATACTGTTTTCCATAGTGGTTGTGCCAGTACACTCCCTCCAACCCTAGAAAATTGTTCTGGTTTCCATAAACCCCCAAAAGTGTTTGTTACTTCTTGACTTTTGATGATAGCATTGTTTCTGGGGTGAGATGGAATCTCAGTGTTGTTTTAATTTGCATTTCATGAATGACCAATGATGTTAAACATTTTTTCATATATGTATGTGTGATTAATATTTCTTCATCTGGGAAGAGTATATTCACCCCTGATGCCATTTTTTAGATTGAGGCTTTGAATTTGGGGGACCTGATTTGTTTTGTAAATCTTTAAATATTCTAGATAGATGTCCTTTGTCTGAGGGACAGTTGGCTAAAATTTTTTCCCAGTTTGTAGATTTTCTTTTTACTGTGTTGGTGACTTTCTTTGACATGCAGAAACTTTTTTAAATGATGAGATCCTAATTGTTGATTCTTTGAAATATTACCTTTACAGTTGGATTTTTCTTCATGAGATCTCTCCTTACCCCATGACTTCAAGATTTCCACCTACATTTTCAATCTGAGAAGTGTGTGTTCATCTTGAATGTCCATTTCTGGACTAGGTCTTTAAATTTGGGGGTATTAGTGTTTTTTAGTTCTTTATAAATTCTAGAGAGCAGACCTTTGTTTGGAGTGCCATCATTTTGGCCTTCTGAATACGGGCTGCTTCTCCTGACATGCCAGTTGCTGCTGTGATGTCTCTCTGGCAGATGACTGTTTACAAATGATGGGGGTGGTGCATGAAAGCAGGAGATGGGAAAAGGAGTTTCGCGGGACGGTCTTGCTACAATGTTGTGTACTGTTAGATTTCTGGGCTTATGTGTAAACATATATAATTCTTTATTCCTATTTTTAAAATACATTTAAATTTTTAAAAAATTTTCATCATATTCTGTAGCGAGTTAAAATTTAACATATCAATACTTGATGAAAAATACCTGTTCCAAGTTGTGCCTAAGATGTTTGATATTCAGACAGATAATGAGGTTGAGCTCAACAGCCTCGGTTGTATAATAATTACAATAAGCTGCTCTTCTGGAGGGTTAACAACCTAAGTTTGCAGACCAAATATTAGAGAAAAAGGAGGGCCACAAGGAAAGCCAACATTTTGGCCCTAGCCTTCCAAGGTCAATTAAGACTTAGGACATAATGAGAACTTGTACTGTAACATCATGTAACTCAGTCATGTCCCAACATAGTGTGCCTAAGGAGAGTCACGTGGAGGGAAACATCCTCTCTGGCTTTCACAGAGAGCAAATGGGCCAAGCAATGGCTGTGACTCATCCACATAGCTGACACTGCCAAAGGATCTACAATCTGAGGTACAGGGTCGCAGGACACATCCTGAGTGGATTTGACTGACCTTATCAGATCCAAAAGCTACAATTCTTACTACCTAGGTCTTGCTTTATCTTAGTCTTAAACATTAAGCTGAAAAGTATAAAAATGAAGTACAAGAAGTAAAGCCATGTTGGTATGTTGAGGTGTGGGAGACTCAGGTCACTAACTTCTGACATTGCCCGTCAAGCGGGAGACCCAGTACTATTATGGACTACTGCACTGTTTTGGAATATTTTGATGAGTTCACATACCTATAGTATTTAAATGACGGAACTAATCAAAAAAGGGGATACAGATGAATAACCATTTTGTATCTGTGTATTCAAAATGGTTAGGATAGATGTATAGCTACATTCTCTTAAGTCAGTGAATAGAGGGATTTGTTCTTATACTGTTTGTTAATTGGATACCATCTCTTCATCTTGTATAGCAAAGAACCACTAGGAAGACAGTATGCAATGTGTTGATTATTGGAACTGTCCTACCAATTTGATTTGAAACTGTCTCATTGCTATTTATTTCTTAATAAAATCATGGGGGGAAAAAAGGCAAAAAAGCTCTGCTCCATGCGTTAGAGCCTTTACCTGCAGAAGGGCACCCAGAGCTCAGGAGGCGCCCAAGAGGCCTTCCCCCTGACAGCATGGGTGAGGACCTTGCAGCTGGGAGAGACCAGGCAGGGATCAGCGAACCCACTCCCGACTTGTTTGAGGGAACAAGAGAAATGGAGAGAGGCTTTGTCACTGCCCCTAGACGGTCCCAGTGCTGGTGGGCGGGGGTGGAAGGCATGGGGGTGGGGCGTTGGCTTGAGGGCAGGCCACCCTTTGAGGTCACGAGAGGGCGGGTCTTATGCACATACGGCATGGTTGGATCCCTGGTGTTGAAACCTGATGATTTTCCTGGACCTCGGAGGTAACGTAGGGAGGATTTTGGCAGCTGGGCACATCTGCTGCATGGACAGGCTAGGAGGACCCGAGAGTGTGTGAAGGCAAATGAGCCTGAGTGCAGAGTGAAGCACTCAGGAGGCTTGTGCGGGAGGGTGCTGCAGTGGTCATACTTACCCGGCAGGGGAGATACCATGATCACGAAGGTGGTTTTCCCAAGGCAAAGTTTATCTATTGAACTCCGGATGAGCTAAACCCTGCGATTTCCCCAAATGCGTTGAATCTCCACTACATAATTTGTGGTAGTGGGGGACTGCTTTCGTGCTTTGTCCTGTTTTGTGGTTAAATGTGAGATCAGACTGTTTAATTTTCAGTTTTCTTGAAGCCACCTCGTTGCGTGGAGAGTGTAACATACATGAAATTTCCGGTGCCTCTTGAGATAAATATTTTGCATATGTTCTTACTCACACGTTTTGTCCCTTCTTGTTTTTTTTTTTTTTCACGTGTTGCTTATGAAATGTGGGCGCTTCCTACAGACAAGGCGAAGTAGAAGATACCAGGTGTGGTGCGTCCTGCATGGAGGAGGTGGCTGGGTAGAGACACTTTCCTCGTCCATAGCTGTGTTTTTCACTAGCAGTATTGTCCTCCTGGAGAAAGCGGCCTCCACTGCCAGAATAACACATGCACCATCAGAGTCCAGCTGCTGGCCAGACCAGAGCGAGCTGCCCAGCCCAAAAGCCAAGCCTAGAGCAAAGTGCCAGCTTTACTGCTAGGTACTTACTTCATGGGAACGTTTGCCAGGAGTTCCTTGAACCCTGCCAGGCATTTCTATTCTTTTTCTTTCCTTGCTTCTTTCCTGGTTTTTATTTTCTTTTTCTTTCTCTTCCTTTCTTCTAAAGCTCTTAAAAGAGTTAAGTATTCCACAGACACCTTCCATAGGGTACCAGCTTTGCAGATCCCAAGGGCATGCACGTGACACTCACCTGCGGAAGTAACATAAGATTACATTTTAATATACTCTTGTCAAGAAACATAATTTTCAACATCATCCTTGGGCCTGCTTACAAAATGTAAACAAGAGCACAAATAATTTCTTTGTGAAATGTAATAAAAATTGAAAACGTTAACACTGATGTAATCTTTGCCATGCGTGACAGCATGTTCCATACATACGCCTAGCTTATGCTGACAGCATGTATGCTTTGCTTTTCTGTCTTTTGGGCACGTCATACCTGTCACCTCTTCTCTTCCTGTTTTCTCAGGAGGTTCCCACTATACCACATGCACTTAGCGGGAAAATGATTTATCAATAAAATATTTAATATGATGTACCCTGTTCAGGAAAAACAATGTCTCCTACATACACTATTTGCTTAATAAATCTAAAAAGAAATATATAAATCTCTATGTGTAGCAGTTAAGGGAATGCCCACCTGGGAGGCAGGAGGATGGCCTTGAATTCAAGATTGGCCTCCACTACAGTCAAATCATTTCTCAAAAAAAAGCTGATAAATACATTAATATTATCCCTTAGTGACTGCACACTGATTAGGCCCACAACCTCCCAAATGAGTGTACAGAGAACACTAAAATAAAAGAGTTAAGGGCCAGCCAGATAGCTCAGCAGCCTGAAGCACCTGCTTAGGCAGAGTGCAGCAGCCAGGTTCAATGCCTGCTGTGCGTATGCCCCCAGCTGGCTGAGATGCCATTGAGACTGGGACGTCGGCACCTGTAATCCCAGCTTTTGGGAGGCTGAACACAGACACATCACGACAAGTCAGATCTACATAATGAGGCCCTATAGACCCTGTAGACCCTGTCCTAAATACAAACAAATAAATAAGTTAAGTGGTATGATTTTAAGGCTCCAGGATGATAAACCCTTTCACAGATTTTCAGATGAGGCACAGGTTAAGACAAAGACATCCTCTGGGTGGCCAATATCTATTTAATTATCAAAGGAGGAGAATACTGAAGAGCATGGACATCTGAGCAGGACCATTCACGGATGAGGAAGTCCACTCAGTAATTTCTCCACTAATCCATCATGTGCATTTAGGAGAAGTATGTTACCACCAGGAAGGGCTTCGCCACAGGAGTGAGATGTCTGCAGCTACAGTCCTTTTCTAGTTAATGGAGCTTGGAGCAGGCGTCCTTAGCTGTGGCCTTGTCTTCTCCAGGGAGGCTTTGAGGCTTCACCTGCCACTGCAGGCCTCAGCTGGGATCAGTGACTCACAGAGGTTCACATACTATGAGCCCCTGCCCATCTCCAGATCAGGGGCCTCAGCGTGAACAGACACCCAAGTAGGCATGGAAAGCTGATTGGGCACTTACATCCTGCTCAGAGATGCTTCGTAACGGTTTCCATCAAAAAACAATGTGTGCTACAGTGAACGTACAAATAAAGCTCTACCACAAAAATAATCTGTACTTGAATGATCAAATGCAAGGTAATTTTCACTCATGAAAATGGCATGTTCCACACACAAGATAAGTTACACTGATAACATGGTGTTTTGGTTTCCTGACTCTTTTCGTTGAACATATGTGACATTTTGTTACTCTTTCTGTCTTTTTAGGAGTTTCTTGTGATGTCTAAGCTGTCTGCACACAGGTCTGCTCGAGAATTTTTTTGCAGTTTTTTAGGAAGACATAAATTCTCCTTTCTCTGTGAAATTGAACATTTAGTTTCAATTTTTAGGAAAAATGCTCCATGATGTTTTGTTCTTATAATTTTTTGTAGGAAACTATGCGTGGTGTATTTAGGGTCGAGTGAAATGCAACCATTGGCCAACACTTTGTATTTTGAATGATGTCATATTTGCTTCATGAGTCCTCAACAACCATCTTAAGAACCTGTATTTTTATAAGATCAGAAACAGAAGAAATGGACAGATTTTTAAAATTTTATTTATTTATCCCTGTGGTGGGTTGGGCCAGCTCAGCCCACCAGGGGACAGGGATGGCTGGCATGTGGTGCTTGGGGATTGAACCGAAGTCCCTGTGCTTTGCTAAGCTTGTTCTAAATAGGTGCTTTAGACCACTGAGCCATCTCACCAGCCCCATGGATAGATTTTTAGATGCATATGAATTACCAAAGCTGGACCAAGAAATTTTAAAAATTCCAAATAAATTAATACCCATCAATGAAACTGCAGATGTAATTTAAAACCTAGCAGTAAATGATATCCGAGGTTCTCACAGATTCACACCTGAATTCTACAAGAAATGTAGAGAAGGCTTAATGCCACTCCTTCTTAAACACTTTATGGACATTGAAAGAGAAGCAGTACTCCCAAATTGATTCCTGCAGGCAAGAAATATCTGATACCAAATGAGAGAGTGAATCAACCAGGGAAGAGAAGTACATGCTTATCTCCTTCATGAAAACTGGAAAAAAATGTCTTCAGTAAGATACTGTCAAACAGAATGGGCAAATCACTAAGATTGTACACCATGACTAAGCAAGATCTATCCTGGGGATGTAGGGATGCTTCACCATATGTAAATGAATGGAAGGAATAGGCTGGGTGTAGGGCTGCCTCCCTGCAATCCCAGCACTTGGGAAGTGGAGGCAGATGGTTGCAGAGAGTTTCAGGCCAGCCTGGTGTACACAGTGAGTTCAAGGGCAGCCTGAACTGCACAGTGAGACCCTGTCTCAAAAACTAAAATAATAATTCAAAAAATTAAATATAACATACATTTATTAGCAGAGCCAAGAAGAAAACCAAATGACTAACTCAATACATGCAGAGAGAGCATTTGACAAAGTCCCAAACCCATTCATGATAAAAAACTCACAGAATATTGGAATAGATGGTGTGTATCTCAATCTGATAGAAGTCATCCATGAGAGCCTGTGATGGCAGATGCAACAAGAGACCCTGACAGGGGCTGAGGATGGGAACAAGCAAGTTTTATTCCCCCACAGGGTACAGTATTCTACAATAGCCAACTGGGGAGTGCTGACCTCAACTGGCCTTTGTAGTGGGTTTGCATACATTTACCAGCAACCATGATAACCACACTGATTCATTTTAAAGTTTTACAAAAAGCCTCAAGATTAACATTAGCCAGGTTTATACAGTTTTAATTCAATGTTAATTTGCTTTATTGCTGCCTTCTTAGAAAATATATCTATATCTATCTTTTAAGAAAATACAAAGCAATAGTAAAATCATTAGAGATGATACAGAATTTCACTAAACAAAATGATAAGTATTCAACCATGGTTATTATACTGCATATTGTTGTCCTCAAATTAATTGTTCAGATTCCCAGATACAAGCCTGTAAGATTGGTCAAGAAATTATAAAACATTAAAGAGGACACAGAAAAACTTAAGCATTAACTCAAACTTTCAATGAGGCAGTAAATATCAGCAGGACAATTACCGCGGTATCCTGTGTATATGCACAAATGTTTCATTTTCCTTCCTTCTTTCTTTTCTCCATTCCCTCATGCCAGTGTTCCTTCCTGTTGAACAGATTCTTTCCTTTCACAGCATCTATTGTATATTTCAGATTTTCTTTATTCTTTCAAATTCTTATACTAGGAAGACAATCTGATGTTTGCATACGTGTATCTACTTTATTTCATTGAAGAAAATATTCTCTAATTGCATCCATTTACTTATGAAAGCCTCGAGTTAATCTTTTTTATAATTGAGCAATACTTCATTGTATAAAAATATTGCATATTTTTTATCCATTCCTCAGTTGAGCATTTGGGTTATTTCCAAGATTTTGCTATGACAAATTGCACTGCAATAAACTTGGGTGCTTTTCTATCACTGTGGAATGTTTTCAGTTCTTTTGGAGACATATTCACAAGGGCAATAATTGGTTTGAATGGGGCCTCCAATCCTAAATTTTGAGGAATTTTCACACTGATTTGCATAGTGGTTGTGCCAGTGTACACTCCCACCAACCCTAGAAAAGTGTTGTTCTTTCTATTAAGGCCCTGCAGCATTTGCTACTTGTGGACTTTTGATGATAGCCATTGTTTCTGGGGTGATATGAAATCTCAGTGTTGTTTTAATTTGCATTTCATGAATGACCAATATTGTTAAACATATTTTCATATATGTATTTTCCATTTATATTTCTTCATTTGGGAAGACTATATTCATCCCTGATGCCCATTTTTGGATTGAGTCTTTGAATTTTGGAGGCCTGATTTGTTTTTTAAATATTTAAATATTCTAGAGAGATGTCTTTGTCTCATGGACGGTTAGCTAATTTTTTTTCCAATTTGTAGATTTCCTTTTTACTCTGTTAGTGAATTCCTTTGACATGCAGAAACTGTTTTAAATGATGAGTACCCAATTGTTGA